CCATGCTGGCTGGGGAATTCTGGGAGTTGAAGTCCACACATCTTCAAGCGGCCAAGGTTGAAAAACGCTGCTATAGACAAAACCAAAAACAGAATGAAAATAATCGTCATATGATAATGGAGGCACTATATAACCAAAGCAATCATGTAAACTCCACTTGCATTGGGCTTCTCTAGCATCCCAGCCCAACACCTGGAGGAGAAGCCAGGTCATCAAGACCTTCTAGAAGGCCAAGAGGATCGGGGCACTAAGGATCTCGGGATGGGTGGTTGGGGAGGCTATTCTCTAAGGCAGGTGCCACAAGAGAGGAGGCACATTTCGTCTCGGTTCCACAAGACGGTGATGTTTAATGGAGGGGATCTAGAGTGCGCCAGCCCTCTCAGATCTGGTGGGAGGGGCAGAGAGCCTTGGAGATGGATGGTCCCACAAGTACTACATCGCAGGAGCTGTAAGGGTCATAACCAGCAGCTTGAATTGCACCCAGAACTACACTGGGAGATGTGGCTGGAGAGAGATGGAAAGAAAGGCTGATGGAAAACTGGAAGAGATGCACATTTAACCCACAGGGGCGAGGGTGTCGTTCTCCACTCTGAACCCAGCAGTGTTTATGGTGGGAGTATTTTCCTTAGAACAGAAAGGAATAAAAATGGCATACCTTTCCATTCTGAGTTGTAGTCCTGCCCAACTGTTTCCTACTTTGTAGCTAGCCTCCATAAGGACTAACAGACTGCTTTAAAAAAAAAAAAGTATTCTGAATGTATTCAAGCTTGCATGGCAGTTTCCGTTGTTCTCGTTTGCTTTTCTTGACTTATGATTTGTACAATGGTTGAATGGCAACTTTAATTTTTTTTTATTGTACTAATTTTGAGGTCCCATTTATGGATAATCCTGTGTGCGTATACTTCCTTGAATTAGTTTGGTATAATAAAATATTTTTTAGAAAAGAAATGTTATTTCTAGAGTGACATTTCAGTGTCTTCTCTTTGACAGAAGGACATGACCTCACGGATGTGCCACTGACATCCTGGGAACTTACCTGCCATCAATCAAGCCAATGCCAGTCAGAATACTTGGCTCCGGACTGTGGACCATCCCTGCCAAGCGACAAGATTGTGACCTGGAGGGACTTCCCTTTTTAAAGAGAATTATATACATCTTTTTTTAAAAAAGAACTTTCCCAAGCTCTTGTAATGAAACTTTTGTCAAATCATTCTGATTGTTGGATTATTGAAGTCTAGGTGTTTAAGAAAGGAAAGAACCACGGTTAAATGTAATGCGTCCTTAAGATCTCCATGTCTTTCTTCTCACTTCACGTGGCTAGGGGGTGATTTGGATGTGGTATTGAGGTCTCCCCCCAAAATCACCTGGGCTTCAGAACACACTCTTGGATCAAGCAATCAACCAACTTAAGTGAGAAAAAACCCACTGACACGCAAGTAGCATAGAACTCTGTTTAGGCAGTTACTGGAATTACCTGTGTTGCAAATAATAAAAGTTGTTTTAGCACTTCTTTCACCTGATATCTCGACTCCTGTTTGAATGCGTACGTGGTCGTTCTATTTCCCGGCCCCTTGGGAGATAATGGGAAATGATCTGGCAGCAATTTAACCTTTCTTTTTTGCGGGATGCACAGTGAGCCAAGCTATTCCTGGAACTTGGGCTTTATGGACTGTGAGTGCCTCCCACAATTTATAGGGGAGTTTTCAGATTTTCTGGTTACTTTTTTTTTTTTTTTTGGGCTTACTTGTCCAGGAAATGGACAGGACTTGGAAGTCCTACGCAATTGCTTCAGTGCAAAACCTTGGAACTCCAGTTTGTACGATAGACGCCGCCCAATGTCTGCTTCAAAGACCTTCAGTGAAAGAGCCCATTGCCCTCCAAGGCATCTCGTGCCCTCTGGAATATCAGATTGCTCCTAGTGCCTTATCAAAATCTACTTCCTTGCCATTCCCCCCACCCCCCCGCTCCAATCGTGGGTGTCTGCAAGGAGGGGAGCAGCAAAATGTGATGTGCCGTACCATACAGAAATGGCATGACTTACTTCCATCCTCTCAATACATAATCATTTGCAGGTCATGACATGCCATGTTGAGGTTGCCATTGCTTGTTACAGACTCTGCTGCCGATGGTCCGATTCCCCTGCTGTGGAACAAGATAACATCTTCATCTGCTTGTGCCTGCATTCATACAGTGCACTAATGTAGTTTGTCAGGTGTCGGCCTAGCCTCGTACGTGATCACATCCATGGCAGTTTGTAAACCATGGCTTACAGCTTGGCCTGATGTGTGGACTTAGCTGTGGAGGTTTATTGCTGGGTGTGAACCCAGCCTGTGTATGCAACATGTTAAGCAAGAAACCTGAGTAAGATACCACGTGCACAAGATCATTTTTAACCTAATGCAGTCTAGTTCAGGGCGGCATTAAAAGCAGCACCTTATGAAGGAGACATGAAATCCTCATTCCTCTCTGTTTGGCCCTGGAGTTCTGTGTGTGACTCTGGGCATCACATTGCCAACAGGATTTTGACAGCTTAGATGGGGGCCTTGAGGATGATAAAGGGACTTCAGAACTTGCCCTGTGAGGATAGGCTAAAATGAACTTGGGATGTTCAGTTTGGAGAAGACTCAGAGGAGACATCACAACCACGTTCAGGTACACAAAGGGAAGCTGCAGAGAAGATGGCCGAGGACTGTTTTCCATGGCTGTACAAAACTAAGGCGAGAAGGGGTATAAATTGCAGCTACTTGGATTTCATTTAAACTTCCTAGTGATAAGATTTATACAACAGTGGAACCTATGAAAATTGTAGATCCTCTGGACAGCCACTTCTCAAGGATTGTTTAACTGTTTTTCTGCACACTGCAGGGGGTTGGATTAGATGATCCTGGTGTTCCCTTCCGATTCTCCAAATCTATATTCTATGAACCTTTCATGCTTATTCCTGAATTGAGATCTTAGACTTGGAGTCAATTTTTTAAAGCAACCGTAGCTATGTGAAATGGAAATTCAGATCCATTCTATGAAGGATATCTACAGTGGTCCTTAAACATTGGTGAACTCTTTTGAATTTTCAATATTTCTGCATAAATATGACCTAAAATGTGATCTATTCTCCACACAAGTCCTAAAACTAAATATGTAGCTTTGGATCATTTTCTTCAATAAATAAATGAACAAGTATAATGTTTTTCACCCATCTGTTTAATGGATTCTTTTTATCTAGTTTTAGGACTTGCGTGGAGAACAGAACAGATTTTAGGTCATATTTATGCTGAAATACTGAAAATTCAAAAGGGTTCACAAACTTTTAAGCACCACTGTACAACCTCCAATGTCTCCATTTTTATTCTAAGGAATGTTGGAGAATGTGGAATTCTACTGCTAAAATCCAAACTTTGGCCATTAATTCAATTCCCTTCCCCTGACGCCAAGCAAATGCTGCGGCTTGCATGTTAGTACTTTAGCATATGAAGTATGAAGTCAGCTGTGGTGGCTTGAAACCCATGCTTTAGATCTCATGATCCTGTGTAAAGAGCCAATGGGATTACCATGTAGGGAAAACCCAAGTTTCCCCAAATAATTGCACTGGAGGCAATCTGAATGAGAATTGGGAGACGAATGGAGTTTCTGTGGCTCTTTCCTCTGGAAAATTCCCCCTCCCACTCACTTCTCAGATTGAGGGAGATTCCAGCGAGGAGTGTCCAATTTCCCATAAATGCTTCTGAGCCACTTTTCTGTGCCAGCAATGCTTGGTTCTGGAAAGACAGCAGTTGTAGTAATACCAGGAATGGCTTCTGGAGGAAGTCCTTTGTAACCACTGAATCAGCAGCTGGAAGCTTTTTAGTAATTTGTGTCTCCAGGATTATTCTGAGTTTATAAATCTTCTGTTGCCCTGATTTTGTGGGGAGTGGTGGTGGTGAAGAACCCGAATTTCTTTCCTGAAAGAAACGTCATCTCTGTCCCTGTGATCTCTGTTAGCTGGGGAAGAGGTTTATATGTTTCAACATCCAGTTTGGCATACTGTACTCCAGTCTTGTAATGCCATATCTGTTCTAAAGAGCAAGTATCTACTCTGGGTTTGCTGTTCTGCATTCAGGAACCTCCGTGGGAAACTATCTGAGATTTTCTATCATCAGTAAACCAGAAGTTGGTTTATCAGGCCCATGCTTTTGTGTTCCCTGGAGCTACCCAGATTGGGTGAAGGTCACTGTTTTTGCCCCTTGTTAAGTCTGGGGAGGTTTGGGATGGGGGCTCTAAGAGGAAAAAAGGGAGTGTCAGTGTTGCTGAAGCATCTCTTTGGCCCGGTGTTTCTCAACCGCAGGAACTTTAGGATGTGTGGACTTCTAACCCCCCAAATTCTCCCCCCACGCCCTCTCGCTTTGGAGTTTTGGGGGGTGTAGTGCCAAACACTTAACAATCCTCCCGTTGAGAAAAAACA